AACGTTCAATAGTGCCTTTCTGATCTTATTGAAATAAATGATTTTGACTTTGCCTACCAAATGATAACAGAAAACGAACTTCAATCTGCTAAAAAAGGATGGAGATTGAGGTAAAATCGTCTTATGTAGAGGGGTTCTAAAGTCCATCAGAGAACTGTTAGCTGTAGATGATGATGATGATAGAAATCAAATGACTTTGGAGAAAGCGATTAAGATATTCAGTAAAATATCCTTCCACGTGTTTCATTGTTTCACTACAAAAAGTGTCCTCGTCTGCGCCCCACCTAATTACTACGCCAATACACCGCGACAGTGATTTAAGTCAGCCACCTACGAACAAATTCTTAATCAAAAATAATCCCAGAAAGCGACCATGTGATCTCTATAACAAACAATACCAGCCAAATACTCCAAAGCTGAGTTTCAATGAGTTAAGGGATATTTAAAAAGGGTTTTCCAAGTCATGAGCGAGTGTTTTAATTGTCATCTTTGGTGTTTTGCCAAATGATTCCGTTGATGGGTCAAGGTTGCTGTGAATCGGGATTCTCTTTGTACTTATCTGAGGGAAGAGTTTTGAGTATTGTACGATAGGAGAGTAAATAGAAAATATCGGGTACGGGGAACTAGATTTTCTAACAGCTTAGTGAATTTCTAGCACCATAAAATTGAAAATCTTTAAAAAGTACGTTTTAAAAATACTAAAAATTATTATGTCCATTGTCGCCCACTAAAAATGTTAGAAAAAAATCTAAAAAATATATAAACGAGTGATACAGCCGTCCCTTCAGATATCTAAAACTAAAAAACTTTACACTTCATTATAACAATCAGAATGATCAAATTGTCATCATCAAAAAAGCGACATGGGCACATAAATAAAACAATTTAATTTCGATATAGGCGTACACATGTATATCAACACGCTGTATAATGTCTCGCCGTGACGTCACAACGCGTCACGTTTGCGTAACGCCGCCGCCGCCTGCGCATACGACTACAACGTATTCGTGCCAAGCAGATAATCTTTAGAAGTACCACTCTCGCAACTCATAAACGATGAATCAAAGCGGGCATCAAAGAAAAGTGATTAAAATAAAATAGAAAATACTATAATCTGTCTTCAAAGTAGTAGCTAATTATATCTAAATTATTTATTGTTGCTTACGTGTTAAATAGTTTTCGGAGTTCATTGGCTTATTTTTACTTTTTTCTTGATGTTGTTGTCTTTAGTAAACAATATTTCGATTATCCCCTGTTCAATAATATACCAAAACTAGTTTGTTTGTAGTCACAAATTTCTTTGATAGGCGGCAATTCTCATTCTAGCTTCAATAATCCTGCTCCTAATAATATTATGAATGCGAAAGTTTGTGAGGATGTATGTGAGTGTGTGTTACTCTTTCATGTCAAAACGGCTGAAAAGATCGAGATGAAATTTGGAAGAGGGGTAGGTTACACGAGAACACAGTCGAAGCCCTTGGCAAAAACTAGTTGTATAATAATGCTGAAGTTTAAAACTAGTGCTTGTAGATGTTTATAATATAAGCATGTGAGTAGCATTAACACCTAACTACGTCCAATTAAACAATAACAGAATAAAATGACTGAAAAGAAAATACTTAAATACTTAATGAACTAAATCGCGGGTTACTCACGTGAAAATATTGAGAAAAGCTCTACTGGTTTCGAACCACACGCGGTCGTGGCGATGTCGCGCAGCTCACTCAACGAATGAAGAACCCCTCAGTGGTTCGAAACTAGTAGAGCTGTTCTCAGTATATTCACGTGAGTAACCCGCGATTTTAGTCATTTATTATGTCTCGCGATAGTTATTATAAAAACTTAAATACTTGACAATATTATAATAGACACAATACTAAAACTTCTGTTTAATTGTCATACACAATACACATTTGTTCGGCAGCCATTTTCAGAATAGCACATGTCTTGTATATGTCAGGTATAAATAGAAGGCACTGGGTCACCTGTACCATAGCGTGGTGTGGGTATACTTGCTTCCCTACAGGTGCCCGCCACGAAGCATTGTGTAGATCGGATGAGCGGTTGTTAGAGTAAGATTATGAAGGAATGTAGTTTAAGTGGAGATAGAAAAGATATTATGGATGGAATAGTTATCTAATTCATAATTCGTTAATTTTTGACTGCCTCAGTGGCCGAGTGATCGCTAGATCGACTGCTGGCTTTGCCCAGCAGGTCTCGGGTTATATTTCCGGGTCGGGTAAAGAATTATTGGGGGTTTTTTAAAATTGTGCCCGGTATATGGCAATAGGTTCACCCCCTATTACATAGGACTCATAACATAAATAGTGAAAAGTGCGTGTTATATTACAGTACAGTAGCATTAAGTGTCGGAATATACACCTCCGTCTACCCTTTCGGGGATAAAAGGTGTGAAGTTGTTTTTATATTGTAATTAGATTTTAAAATATGTTAAATTTACCCTTTGAGCATTAGCAGATCTTTTATTAAGTAAGTTAGAAAAATTTAAGAACGTCTTAGTTTTTTGGAACCTCTATTTTTCATATAGAGCTAGTCCTTAGAATTAATAAGTTCATAAGAAAAAAGCATAGTTAATCCAATTCGCGAGAAAATTCTTGCATTGACCCATTATTACTTTTAATAATTTAAGAAAAGTGCAATACAGTAAAACCGTGATTGAACTTCTGTTTAAATATTCTCAAAGTTCGATCCACTGCACATTTCCTTTCAGTTTACAGTTCACTTCAGTAGTGTTCATGTTTCAGTATGAATGCCAGTGTAACCCGAGCGAGCCAGTTGGTAATCTGGAGCACCGCTACGCATCACGTTTCTGGTTCGAGTCTAGACTGAGACATGTTGAAAAATATCTAACGTTAATATGTAAGGGATAGTGTTAAAATAGTACCTATGAGTGCATCAAAATTGTCAAAATTATTAACATCGACTGTGTCAAGTAAGTGTATTTTAAATATAAATATGTACAAGTTTGTTTTATGCCCAAATATACATTTACACACACATATTTTATACGTATTCTTAAACAGAGAACTTTACTAGACCCAAGAATATCTAAACATAACATAACATAACATCACACATTGTAAGTACCACTGTACAATGTAACACCCACTTTTCACTATTTATGTTATGTGTCCCATGTAATAGGAGGTGAGCCTATTGCCATATACCGGGCACAATTACAAACTCCGTGCTCCTACTGAGAGTTTTTAAAAAACCCAGGAATAATTTGCCCGACCCGGCAATCGAACCCGAGAGCCCTTGCCCGGCAGTCGCACTTGCGACCACTCGGCACACGAGGCAGCCTATATTCTATAGCCTAATATCTAAACAATATTACAAAAATGTACTGTCTATCAAAATTAAACCGAAAACGGCACGAAACAACAGCAACGTCCACTCTTCGAACTACCATCAGACAATAAGTTCAACCCAGTAACTTATTTACATTTATAATGTAATAGTTATTATATGACATGACAAGTAGTGTCCACTAAACGCGATCCACAAACAAACTGACTGGCATACGACCAAGTTTCGTAACACTCGCCACGCTCCTCAACCGACAGTTAATCTTAACTCATATCCCGAAATTTTAGATTTACGCTATGATATCTGAACCGTTTCGATCTTCTAGTTGGAAAGTGTATCGGAAAATAGCAGGTTCCATTATAGAGAGAACAATTGCTATGTAATGTGTCTTCTATTAAGATATTTTTAGTAGAAATTGGTTTGACAGAGGTCTTAAAAAATTCTATTCTACATTTGTCGATTGGAATGGCATTCTCAGGCTCTACTATAATGAATGCTGAGTCTTTTGTTAAGAAATGTTGGTAACAAATATGTATATGTATTTTTAAATATATGATATATTATTCAGTCGTCTCTGAAACACACTGATAAAACTGAAGAAATATACCAAATCAGAGGGTATGTTACCCTAGTTATCATTGGATAATCCTAACAGTTATATAGTATAAAACAGGATTAAAAATCTGATAATGTCTCTTAAAAATCCTGTTGTATCAATAAACGACATTTAAGAATGATCATAATAATTCAAGGAACGATTGTAGCTCCCAAAAATCCAGCTTCACTGTAAAACAAATGACTATCAAATTATTGAAACAAACAGCTATATACATATTTTTGAGGTTGATGACTCTATTATCTAAATCGGAACTATAAACATATCGACTAAGAACTATAATTTAGTTCTTAAACACTTCGCTATACTTTTCTTCACCTGTTCATCAAAAGTGTGAAGAAATATATTAGAACGAAATCACTTTCTAAAGGGCTTTTGAACTTAAAAAAGTATTTTGAATATAGTCCAATTAATAAATTCGATTTACTATGACAGGTAAGGTATTAATCCATTTCTCCATCGTTTCATAATCTTTCTTTATGATGTGTTTGGAATAAGAAATGGGATTAAAATTAAATGATATAAATGTATAAACTGTGGGCATTAATGTGAAAATTAGCACGAGACTGTGTTACGTAATCTTCGGCGTGATGCGATGACGTGGCGATTTAGAAATTGAGAAATGGAGTGGGGAAAGGTCTTTAAAACATTTTCCCACTCACACAGATCTCACAGATCAGAGATAAACAGGTTTTTGTTTGTTATTTTCTATTTCGTTTTTCAATATTGAATTACTAATTCAATCAAGACTTACTTTTTTATTTTTCGAAAAATAGGTAGGTACTACGCATCTGAATCAAAATGTCAGTCATATTTTCCGATACTACTGAAAAATGTTAAAAACCAAAATGCGTCCATTGACTAACATCCAGAACAAAAACGTATCATTTTTGTCGTAGTGATATTATTCTAAAAAATATTGATGTCATTTCTATGATAACTACTGATAACTATGGACAAAAGAATACCGTGTGTAGGATTATTACCTTGCTACCGATAACTGAATAAAAAAACTGCAGAAAGAACATACGTAAATAATAGTTATCTAACTCACCCTCTGGTATCTTGATAGTAGTTCCAAGGTTGATCTGCTGCAGCCTGGCTAGCGCGGCCTGCTGCAGCGCTCTCCGCTCCACCTCGCTGAGGGTCAGCAGGGATGTGTCCGTCAATCGCACGCACCGCCCACTGCCGTCTGCCCAGCAACAGCTGCCCTGCACATAACGCGTGACGTCATCATACCACACACACACGCGAAGTATAAAATACTCGAACTAACAATAGTAACACGTGTTCTGAGGTTAAATAGAACAGCTTTTGAGACTTGCCAGTTCAAAAGGTAAAGAAATCAGTGTAGGGCGCTCTCCAGCTAAGTGAAGTGACGATATATGCTAGACTGTTAGATGCAAGCTAGTGGCTGAATGCGAAGAGTGTGCTATTAGAGAAGCTGCTGTGGAAGGAAATGAACTTGATGATGATGATGAAAGAAATAAATCTATTCTATCATGCTGAGTTAATGGTGATGCAAAAGTGAGTACCACGCCCGGACTCGAATTGAAATTTTTACAAATTTCATGTCAATAAGAGCAATCCTTAGTTTCAGCCGTGTGATAAAAGAAAAAATATAGCTTACAATATAATTTTCACTTACCTAACGATCCCTAAACACAAAACTCATTCCAAAAAATAAACAAACGCCCTTTCGTATTTATAATGTTAGTAAAGAATAAGCATCTATCATTGACCTCAAGATATACCTATTTTTAATGACGAGGGGAAACCTTCAAAAGGCGCCTAAGTTTTGGGTAGAAAGACTAAGGAGTGTGGAATTTTTACCCTCAAAACCTGTTAGGGGCACTGGGTCCTCTATAAGAGACCTGCTCCGGAGCCCCCACGGTACAACGCCTAACCAACGTACAAGAAAATCCAGTTGAAAATAACACAAAAAATAAGGAAAATGAAGATACTTTCTTCTAAATCTTCAAGGTTAAATATATAAAAGTAATATATAGGAGTAAAGAACCCGTTAAGTGTTATCTCAATGAACGGAACGTTAATGTCACAGACTATACGCAGTAAATTATGAACAACTCTAGATATATAATATATACCACTTATATATACGTTTTATATATTCGAGTGTTTATTATATATACCTATGTGTTAGTGTTTGTGTTTTCGCACTCGGTGAGTGGACTTGCTAACTGTAAAGAATTTCTTAAACATACCTATTATAATTGCGAAGATTTGTGAGTTTTGCAAAAATTACTAAATTGATTTGGATGAAGAACAGAGATAAATTAATATGAAATAACGCATGGAGTCTCGGTAGTGCGGGAAAATCCGCTGGTCGAAGCTAGTACGACGGAAAGTTTTTTATTTTCTATACCAAGGTATCATCATCTCATGAAGCCAGCTCATGCTGCTCATGAAGGAAAATCTGATGAAGGAAAATATTCTGTATGTTTGTCCTATCTCTATGGCACATTAACAAACACAAACCAATCGGGTAAAACCACAGTCCACACTCACACGCAGAACAAAATAGGTTAAAAAAAATAAAAAGCAATTTTCAATATTCATTTCCTTGTTAAAGGTCATCATAACAAATACATACGAACAGAAAGCATATTGTGTACATAAATAAAGTAAAAACCATCAAATATGGGTCATTTGTTTTTAGCAACAATAACAAACAGGAAAAATATAATAAAAACACAAAATTCACACTCAAGGCAACACAGAGAAATGTTTTAGAAAGAGACTTATTAATGTACCAATTTGAAACCAAGGTGACAAGTAAACGGAAACATTAAAATACACTAGAAAACAAGAGCATAAAATTATAATAGAGAACTTCACAAATTAATGATGAATTATATAAAACTTCTTAAAATAACTCTTGTTCATACGTCAACTAGTCTTTTTTTCAGTTGTCAGTGTTGTTGCGTCTACGAAGTAATTTTATTGCGATGTAAAATTCGATTACTTAATTTTGTTATTGATTTTAGTTACAACTGATTTATGGGTGATATTAAAAACGATGAGCAAGCTAGGTAATAGTATAAAAAAAACATATTTTTCTCATCAGCAAAAGAAAATTCTTTTGGACGCAACATTTTTCGCAGTTTTCTGTCAGTACTTACTTACAATTAATAATAAAACGAAGCCAATGTAATAAACATCAAGTTCATACCCATAAACGAGGCCTTAAAATATTATCAATTTAAATAACTTATTAAATACTGCACTTATTAAATACTGCATAGCTGGTCTTAAAGCCACAGGATTAAAGTGGAACTAGGCTGGGCATGTCTGCCGCATGTCAGACGAGCGGTGGGCTAAGTCACTTAAGGAGCCAGTAGAATACCAGCGCAAGGCCCTGTCTTGCACATGCTGAACTGACATTTTCTTAATTGCATGCCGACAGGCGAAACGTAGCGCTTGGGACATGAACATCCATCAGTACTAATAAAGTACATTTTGCATGTCACTTGTGTTATAAAACGAGAATATGAATCAACGGGCCAAAGTAACAAGTGCGATCAAGCGATCTTGATTGAAGGTTTGTGTACAAATATTACCGTTCAATACACCGGCACACCTCATACACAAGCCACAAGTCGGTAGTCTTCAATATAGGTGATGTATGACAAGTTTATCCGTCCGTCTGTCACTGTTTCGATATTAGAAACTGATCGTGAGTCAGAGAGACGTAATAAATGTGTTGTGTCTCAGTCCCGCCTACATACAACTTTGATAGTCTGATTTTAAATGAGCGAATTTCAGCAACGTGTGTGTTTTTGTAAATTATGTAAGTTTAATGTTGAAAGACTGCTTTTTGGTGCAGTGGTTGTGAGGTTTACATCTCGGTTTCGATTCTTGGGTCAGGCAAAGTGTAATTAACGGTTGAGTTGATGATCGACCATAGAATGAATAGCGTTTTGAATTTATTTTTGATTTCAAGCTTGCTTTATGTGCTGTAGAACTTACAAAAATCACAACTAGTGTGTCATAAAACTGGTGCAGCATTTGCCCTTCGAGCAGCAGAGTGGTCCTGAGATTTTTTAGACTTCACATGATTATCATAAACCGATGCACATGCACAGCTTCTGAACAAATTTATCCATTTGTAAAAATAATAATTGTTATTAAAAGTATACATTGAAAATCCAAACAAAGCATCAAAGTCATCAGCAAATTACGTTCATTTCCATACATCCAAAACTTTCACAAATGTCTAAATATATGTACACGCCAATTTACTTCGAAACGTGTAATTTATTTACATGAATCAACCACATTAAACCAACTACATCAAGGTCAACGTTCTGTAACGATATCTAACAACAAATCCTCTAAAATTTAGCAAATGCAAGCTAGTTGATTACGCGTCAAACGACTCACTAAAAAATAAGTGTTCAAAAACATGGCTGATTTTTGATCTACAAAAATAACTATATGACTAAGAAAGCTCAAAAATAAATAGAAAAAAAACTAATGCACCATATGATTCAGTACCAGGGAAGCAGAAAAAGTGACAGGTGGAGTTTTTAACGTTGGCAGTTCTATGATAGTTCCGTATTAAATTCGTTTCGCAAAACAAATATAAATAGTAGGCACTGTAAAAGGTTCTCGGCACAAATGTATTGGGATAAATATAAAAGGTTATTTCTGTACGTGTAAATATATTGTGGTATATTTAGAATGACACGAGTTATCTGAATTTCAAGCGTTTCAACACAGGTGCATCGGCACCACTCAACAGTATGTAACCTCGGTGTGAACGGCTCGATTTATATCGAAAGCTTCCACGAAAATAACAAACTAATAAAATAATATTCAAAATGTAGGAAATGAATACCAATGCGTACACATATAATGTGATTTTTCAAACACGTATCAGGTGGTGGGAATCATTTAAAAATGGCATTCGTCGTGAAAAATTAATCAGAAAAGAAACAAAGTAATTATCTTTTTAATTATCTTGAGACATACTAAATTAACTAAAAATCGCGGGTTACTCATGAGGAAGAGCCCCTCTGTGGTTCGAAACTAGTATAGTAGAGCTTATCTCAGTATATTCACGTGAGTAACTCGGCATTTTTAGTTAAAATAATTATCACTGAACGCTAGCTTTCACTAACAATCGATGTTTACAAAAGGCATGACAAATGATAAATTATATTAATGAACATTTATTGCTGAAAACTAGACCTTAACCCTTTGAGTATAGTCATTATAGACACAATTAAAGAACAATAGGTTGCGGTCACCGGTGACCTCGCGGTGTTTGACAGTTTAAGTAACATTAATGTAACTATAAACTAACACCTCAGTTATCCTAATTATGTGGTCAAGAAAAGTTAGAGACAGAAACGATTGGAAAAAGCTAGAAGAGGCCTATGTGTTACAGCACACGTTGATCACTAATTAGGGCTCACAATTAGGCAAACAAATATACCAACGAAATTGCGCTCGCTACAATTGGAAAGGTAAATAAATTTACCACAAAAATCATAGGTTACTTGACAAGACAATATTAATTATTCCTAGATTGTAGATTAAATGTAATCAAATGGAGAAAAAAAAAGACTGCCTCATTGGGATCAAGGGATCTCAGGTTCGAAACCCGGGTCGGGCAACGTATTACTGGGTTTTTCAAAAAATTCACAGTAGTAGCACGGAGTCTGGAATTGTGCCCGGTATATGACAATAGGCTCACCCCCTATTACATGGGACTCATAATATAAATAGTGAAAATTGGGTGTTACATTGTACAGTGGCATAATGTACACCTCTGCCTACCCCTTCGGGGATAAAAGGCGCGATGTTATTTTATGTAGAATCAAAATTAAAAAGTTCTGAGACAGCCAAGAAGTTCGTAACAAGCCTACGCCTCTTGTCGACATCTCTGTGGAGTTACTTGAATTTACGAGCTACCACAAATAATGAGAGTAGCAAGTGATTGGTATGCGGCTTAGTGGCAATCTCAATGAGCTTGGATTCAATGGAGGAAGATAATATACATATTATCAAAGAGTCTGAGATATTGTTTAAGATTCCAATTTATTCAGTTTTAGCTAGATTTTTCTGGTTTCTTAACAAAATGGGGAATACATTTTTGAATTTTTATGTAATTTTTTGTGCAAAAGATTTGCTTTTGAATTTGTAATATAACTGGTGAAATGTAAATACAAATTGTAATTTTATGTATCTATATATATAAAATTCAAAGGTGACTGACTGACTGACTGACTGACATAGTGATCTATCAACGCACAGCCCAAACCATTGGACGGATCAGGCTGAAATTTGGCATGCAGATAGATATTATGACTTAGGCATCCGCTAAGAAAGGATTTTGATCATTCTCACCCCCAAGGGGGTAAAATAGGGTGTGAAAGTTTATATGAAACTTTGTCAATTTTAAACCGATCAGGTTGAAATTCAGCGTGTCGGTAGATATTATAACGTAAACATCTGCTAAGAAAGAATTTTGATCATTTTCACCCCCAAGGGGGTAAAATAGGGGGTGAAAGTTTGTATGAAACTTTGTCAATTTTATACCAATCAGGTTGAAATTCGGAGTGCCGGTAGATATTATGACGTAAACATCTTTTAAGAAAGGATTTTGATCATTTCCACCCCAAAGTGGGTAAAATAGGGGGTGAAAGTTTGTATGATACTTTGCCAGTTTTAAACCGATCGGGCTGAGACTTTGCATGCATAAAGTTACTATGACATAGGTATTTCCTTAGAAAGAATTTTGATAAATTCCACCCCTAATGCGGATAAAATAGGGAATGAGAGTTTGTATAAATCTTCTTAGCTATTGAATCTAGAATCATTGAATCTTTTTGGATTACATTCGGTAAAACGATGATTTGGGACCTGGGTAACGTATGATAGTTTTTATCACAGAAATCCCACGGGAACGGGAACTATGCGTCAATGCCTCAGGACTCTCTATCTCTTAACCACTGAACTTATAGTTGATAGAATAGTTTTTATTACTCAAAACTTACGTGATCGGGCACTGTACTGGTAAGATCCCTGCGGGATTATTGATTTATTGAAACTACGATAACTCATTTCACAATAGGTAAATCTTACTTGGGCACTGATTGGACAATTGATTCTGATGAATTCTGTTAGAAGTCATTAATCTACGCGGACGAAGTCGCGGGCAACAGCTAGTGAAACTATAAACAATTATTAGAGGTATGATACCGTCAAAAACTGGATACCTATTCAATGTCTTGAAAATAACTTCACTGTTGGGAACAGGCCTTAGTTCCCACTAGAGCCTAGAGAGAAAAATTCAGGCATGGTAGTCCTCATTGTACAATTGTTTAGGAAAACTACTGGGAGTATTTACATCGGAAGTCATAAATAGAGAAAGTAAACATTTCTGTGCAGTTTCGAGACAGTTTCAAAAACAGTTGCAGAAAACGAACGGTTTTATTATACGTCAACTAACTACATATCACCGCTGTTTACTTGGGGAGAGTAGCTGTATGTCACCTATATTTTGACCCTAATAGAATAGCAACTCTATCGGGGCGGTACGGACGGGAAATCGAACCCGAGACAAATTACACGAGCAGTAAGGCAATCGTATGTCTTAACTCGTCGAGTACCGGTTTTATAGACACAATTAAAGAACAATAGGTCGCGGTCACCGGTGACCGCTTGGTGTTTGACAGATTAAGGTAAATAATAATGTACCTACTTTTTTTCTCTCAACTCTACAGCTGTTATAATTATAGCACAATTGCAATATCAACAAAAGTATACTAAAGTTTGTGATCTGTACGCGACGTATACCTATAAAAGACATTGACTAAGAGCGTTTACATGTTTATGCATATACGTACGTAATATGTAACAACACAATTAACGTTAAAAACATCAAACAACATAGACAAACTAAATCCTTGTTAGGAACAGGTATACATGCATGCGAGACTATAATGCGACTGACCTGAGGCGTCCACGTGGCGGCGACGCGCGACGAGCTCCGGCTCCTCGTGCGCCACAGCCTCCTGCTGACACTCTGCACCACGCTGCTCGAAGACCGCGACTTCTGCATGCCACCTGCAGGAGGAGCCACAGTCGGTGCACTTCTACCCAACAGCGTGGAGAGGAACGAATGCGAATGAGTTGGAGACGCTGGTGATGGCGGCGACGTCGGCGTCGATGCGACAGACGCAAATTGCAACTCCCTATACGTCAAAATCCACCCTTCCTCGGTCTGACAACCTTTGTGTGGACCATCGTCATCCACGTCGCTTGGCAACCGAGGCTTTATGTTTCGCAAGTTCTTATCATAATTGATTCGCTTGAAGCGGTCTGCCTTGTCAGCGTCCACACTCTTCTTGCGTGCCATCCTCAAGTACCGCTTAATGGTGTCGCTGACCGATTGTGATACATCGTCGTGGTCCACGCTGGACCGTCGCCGCGCCGGCTTTGGTCGGTCAGGGGGCGGCCCCGTGGGACTGGTCGGTGCGGTCTGCGCCTCCAGTTTCTCGCGATACGCACGCTCCAATTCTTGTAACACTTCCTCTGGAATAGGGTTCGTTTGTGTACCACAATCCACGTATTTATCCTCCAGCGACTCATGAAATACCTCAATAAGGGGCGGCGGGGACATCGGTGGAGATTTATAAGAATCCTCATCATCTTTAAAACGCGTAACACCAACACGACTCCGCGGAACACTTCTAGAGTTAGAGTTAAGAGCACTGACGAATCCACTAGGTCCATAGCCTCCGGAGCCACTACCACCGCTACCACCACTACCACCACTCCTGGCACCCCTGTAGGGCTTGGCCTTACGAAGATCATGATACAGTCTTTTCAATAAATTCCTATCGGTTAACAGATCTTGTACTATACTATCCCTGTTTGGGGATCGTCCGTAGTACCTGCCCAAGTTCTCCAGTAAGGTTCTCTCGCGAGAGGGATTTGTGTCTCCATCAGCAGGTTGGCGCTCTGATTGTTGCTTAAGATATTTCCTTAAAGAGCGAACTAGCTCATCCGTGTCCGAGTGCCGAGTCGGACCGGAGTCATCCTCTACTTTCAGGTACTTGCGCAATAAATCAACTAGCGAACTCTCTTCCTCCTCGGGCAGAGTTCTGCTCACATCTCCAAACTGTGCACCCGTTCGAGTCAGTGCAGAATGACCTGGGGAGGTATTGAATTTAGATGTAGATGCAGTCGGCCCTGGTGCTGCGAAGAAGTCTCGCCGAAGTTTGGCGATGTCGAAGCGGCCGCCAGAGATGTGGCCGATGCAGAGATCGGTGGGGCGCGACGGTGGAGCTGGCGCTTCGTCGGGCGAGCGTGCGCGCACCGAGCCGCCACGCGCACGCTTCTTGCGGCGCGGGCGGGGCAGCGCGCCCGGGTACGAACTCTTGCGCCAGAGTAGGAAGCGTGGCTCCTTGGCACACACCTCCTGGAAGTACGCTTCGAGCCGCGGCACATCTTCGGCTCGGTTCTGTGAGCCTTCGGGTATGAGCCGACGGCCGGCATCTGACATGTACTTCCATGTTTTCCTCGTGAGTAGCCAGCGCTCACGCGGCTTGTCGCGGCGGCGCGCCACCTTCGTCATGGGGTCGGGCGCGGGCTCGAGGCGGGCGGGGCGACGGCGGCGCTCCATGGCCGCGGGTCACATGGGGTCAGGCTGGCTCGCTGCGCGGCATGACCGACCTCGGCCCGCGCACCTGCCTGCGCGAAACTGAACACTACTCCGCACGGTGCGGTATATTATGCGCCGAAATAGCCGTCCGGTTATAGAGCGGCCGTGAACTGGATAGGGTGCGCTCGCGCAGCGGCGGACCGGCGCTGGCGGCGGCTCGGCACGGGACTGAAGCCCGCCCGTAAACAAACAGCGGCCGCCCACACGCTGCCGCCCCGCGCGCCCGCCCGCCGCACGCGCCTTGACCTATGTGGTGACATGCCCTAGCATCCGTGATTGACGATGGTCATGGCTTACACTGCCGCTGCGGCTCATTCATGATGCACCCGAAGACGAGCCAGGATCAAGAAACCCACAGCACCAAAGCTGGTTGCAAAGACTGAGTAACAATTTTCCAGAGGACATCAGCTTCAATATCAATTTGAGTCTTTCTGTGCTTTAGTCTCATTGCTTTTATTCCACATTCTATAAGAGCAACTCAGTACAAACCGCGAGCGGACGAAACTAGAAAAACTGCGGCATCAGTAGATATTTACTTTATTTATTCGTTAACACCTGCTGGCTTCACCCACCTGCTCTTGTTTTTATAACACTTCAGGAGTGCTTCTTTTATTTTCCAAATTCAAATATTGCAAGACTTTAGTGTTGTGCTTGTAGAACATACACATACATACATGTGTATGTTTCATCAAGGTAAAAGTTTGTATGTATTATTATGACAAACATATTTTTGAAATAAATATGATAAGTGTTTATGCCAAGATTTAATAATAACTATTGAGATACAATCGTTTAGCCAAACGCGAACGATACCAATGTTTTGTCACTAGAGGAAATGTTCGATGGAAAACTAGGCAAAATTATATTGGAAATACAAACGTATTGTGTCATAGATTCTGCATAGAATAACTATAAAAAGGCATTGTACAGGGGGAAATGGAAATAAAAGAAATAACGTTGACATTATGTCTGACAGAAAATAATGAGAAAAGCTCTCAATCATGTATAAATATGAAATAACATATTTCGCAGACTGCTATTACTGAAGGTTATGTTTTTATATATTTGTAGAATCACCCAGTAGCAATTTGCAAATGTCTCCGAAATGAGCCAAACAAGATATTCATAGATGTTAATTAAGGTAACGAAGCGCTCACCGCCGCGCTGTAATTATAATTAATTTCAGTATGCGGTCATCAAATCAATTAGAGTATTCACACAAATGTGAAAATTTACATACATAAACGTAATATAAACATAGTTAAGGGTTTAAGGACTATTATTGCTTGTATTGTGTGCTATGCTATTATTAAGTGTAGGTAAGGTAAGGGTGTGCTTCTATGCACCATTCAAAGTTGTATTTCTAATTATTCCTAATGCCTAAGGCAGTGTAATGTCGCCGCGTCGTGTGTCACCAAATGCTGCTCATTAATATGAGCCTCCAGCAGCTTTGAAGTGTGGGAGACGCCATTCTTCGGCTCGAATGAGCCGGCTCAACCGGAATGATACCACAGCCTCACAGAAAACCGACGTGAAACAACGCTTGCGTTGTGTTTTGTCGTGTGAGTCAGGTTTCCGGAGACCTAATTATCCTCTTCCCCAATCTCCCCTATACCTGAATACCCAACAACCCTCAAATCCTAATCCCTAAAAGGCCGGTAACGCACTCGTAACGCCCCTGGTGTTCCGGGTGTCCGTAATCCACGCTGATTGCTTACCATTAGGGGATCCGTCGGCTGGTTTACTGGCTAATCCCATATAAAATACGCTACTATATATTCCACAAGAACGCGAGTGAAGCGGCTGGCAGAGGCTAGTTTTCATATATAAATTGATTTGATTATTTTTAATTTAAATTTTCCAAGTCTTGTTTATTATCCTCAAGTTTTCCTTATTTTGATTCTTTGGATTATTGATGACTAATCTGTGAAGCGTCCGAACGTAAATCTGCGCAAGACACAATGTGTCTTCTATTGAGTTTCATATATCCACAGATAAGAGGTTAAACACAAATTGTTACTTCTGTTCGTGGCAGAAGTAACAATTTGTTACTTCTGTACATTGTTACAGAGTTATTAAGTTGTTCTTAACATCAGGAAGTAACAAATGCCCCTATCACATTGGCTATAGGTTTATTTCATTAATGATTTACAATAGCACAAATAACTAACTACAATTTAGTAGGTCAAAGTATGTAAATTATTACAACCTAGACCGAAAGCCTAACTTATTATTCGAAGTACGAGTGGGTCTTGAGACGTTGGGTATGAATTGTGCCCCAACATAAGTTAGAAAGAGCCAACCTAAGACAGGCAGACAGGTTGACTTCTAGACTTAATAGTCTAGAAGTCAACCTCTTCTTACTTCGCAGAACACTTAGAGTAGGCAGGTTAAAAAGATCAGGTTTATTAAAGAGCGACCAGTTTCTGTTAATAATTGTAAGTTATCTCTTAATTGGCTGTCGCGGAGAACCTAACGGGTAACCGGGGCTCCGGCTCGACGTGCAGGAGTAGGAACGGGGTGGTTTTAAGTCAGTAAGAGTCTGACACTCCCTTCCGCCTCACTCAGGCGGGAGCAGTCATTCGATGATTTTCCCCCCTTAAAAAAAATCCCTTAATTGGCTCTCATGACACTTGCGGAGAGAATAGGTGTAACGACAAAAATTTGTTCTACTCTGCTGGCCTACTACAACTACTATAATTCCAGACCAGATTCTACTCTAACCGATCCCTTCAGCCATTTTGACGTGAAGGGGTAACAAACAAACAGACAGACAGACATATAAACTTTCGCATTTATAATGTTAGTAGGACAGTATACCAGATTGTAAATTGTTTTATTGAATCAGGTCGCGTCACACCGGTTGACCAGGAAGTAATTGGATAAAGACTATGTTCAGCAGTGGCTGATGATGAAATAAATGACGGCAAGAGATGATGGGAGACAACAACAATAGACGGAAATAATAAGATGAGAATAATGAGAACGTGGCATTGTGAGAAAATGAAGACACTAGACTTCATAGTGTACCTACAAGGTTGGTTAAAGAATTAAAAGAATGTAAAGGTAATTTTAATTACGGAAAATGATTTACAGCCTTACTCAGAGTTATTTTAATAGCACAACTTTTTTATGGGATAAACCGGTAAACAAGCATACGATCACCTGATGGTAAGCAATCGGTGTCGCCCATGGCCACCTCGAACACCAGAGGCGTTACAAGTGCGTTACCGGTCTTTTGAAAATAGGGAATTTGAGGAATGTGAGGGATTGGGGGATTGAGGAGACTGGGAAGGGGGGGTGATTGGACTTAACCTTATCCTTAGCAATTGTTTTCAAAACAAATTTGTTACTAAAAATAGTTTAAGTAATCATTAAATGCCTCTGAATACGGTAGTTAGTTGCAACGAAATAATTAATAATGTTCATTAAGTAAGAGACTTCCAGAATCGAATTGCAAAATCGAAGATGCAAAATCGGCGATTCATTTAAGACAATCTTATATATAATGTCACTCATCAAATCAATACCACTACATTTGAAGTCGTCAGTCAGTCTGGTTGATATCTGACAGCACGTTGTAAAACTGAATTCATTGAAGATTTCCTAAGCCTACATTGTAAAGCAAATACTTTAGCTCGAGTGGCCTACAATTCTAAATTCTTTCTCAGTTTGCTGCATCATCGTGCCAACTAAATGACTTTTCCGTTGCGAACTACACGCCTACCACTCCGTTTAATCCCCAAACAACAGCGAACTCAAATCTTTCCCACCGTTGACCGTCAAAACAGATTGAAAAAAACATTTTATTGCCTCAGTGAAATCAATAAAATTTTAACGTAAAGTGTTAGTAGCGTGGAAACGTCTCAGTATTGCAACGCCTTCTCAACAATCTGCACAGCGGCACACATAACTTCCTAGGCCACTTATAAAACGCTCCGATTTAAAAATAAACCCGCGACATAACATAAACAAAATATTTCAGACGCTCCACGAGACTACTACTGCCATCTAGTGGGCTCGGAGTAAACGAGGAAAATTGAAAGCTTGCCAAATTGTTCCTGATGAAATTCGGGTTTGTAACTGAGTGTATATAAGCTACAAGTTCATTCATTGACCGCTAGATGTCGGGACTATTAAATCAATTACAATTAAAATGCTGTAGTACATTATTAGGGCGTGCATTTATATTACTTTATTCGTTTCAATACTAACACATATTACGCAATAAAAGTATTTTAGTAATTTCGCTTCATTTTGACAGAATTAATGTTCTTATTATGACAGAATGAGTGGCAATTGGCGACGAACGCTATGAAGTTACGTTTACACCCTTAAACTACATTAATACCCGAAATTCGTACTAACACAATATCGATCATTATGTGAGTTAACGAGCCGGCAACAATTGGTCTGCGGTGGAGTTTTGGCATGCTCCCGTGCATTGTATCACGCGTTCCAATTTTTGCGATTCCATAATTGATATTTCATTGTGATGGTCTACAATGGCAATGGTCGCCTGCCAACATACCTGGCTACATTGCGGGGAACCATTTGCGTCAATACTATGGAAACAAAAGAATACGTTAATGATTTTTATTAATTCTTATCAGTAAATTTAACTTTTATAAATAGGGACTGCCTCGTTGGCCGAGTGGTCGCAATTGCGACTGCCGGGCAAGGGGTCTCGGGTTTTTTTTCCGGGTCGGGAAAAGTATTACTGGGTTTTTTAAAAATTCTGAGTAGTAGCACGGAGTCTGGAACTGTGCCCGGTATATGGCAATAGGTTCACCCTCTATTACATGGAACTCGTAACATAAATAGTGAAAAATGGGTGTTATATTGTACAGTGGTATAATGTGCACCTCTGCCTACCCCTTCGAGGGTAAAAGGCGTGATGTTATATTATGTTAAATAGGGAACTGGTAAAAACGAGCGATTCAAAAATAATAGAAAAAGAA